GGCATGAAGCCTCCTTGATCACGCTGCATGATCTTTTTGATAATGCACTACATTCTATTTGCTAATATCTGGTTGGGGAGTTTTGCATTTATGTTCATTAAGGAGACTGGCCTACACTATTCCTTTTTAGTTGGACCCTTATTTGGTTTTAGGATCAGCATGATACTAGCTTCCATAAATGAGTTTGGGAGTACTCCATCCTGTTCAATTTCTTTGAAGAACTTGAGTATTGGCAATATAATATCCTTAAAGGTTTTTCTAGAATTCAGCAGTGAATCCATCAAGTCATGGGCTTTTTTTAGTTGGTAGACTGTTTATTACTGTGTCAATTTCATTACTTTTTATAGAGTTGTTACACATATTTATGCCTTCCTGGCTTAGTTTTGATCATTTGTATGTATCTAACAATCTGTCCATTTATTCACAATTTGCTAATTTGTTGGAATACAATTTTGCAAACAATCTTCTGGATTTCCAAGGTGTCTGGTGTGATTTTACCTTTTTCATTTCTAATTACATTGATGTGAATCTTTCTTGTTTTTTCTTGGTAAGTCTGGCTAGGAGCATAGATACTTTATTATTGCAAAGAACAAGTTTTTAAATTATTTTTTACTCTTTTTAGTCTCAATTTCATTTATTTCCACTCTCATCTTTACAATTTCTCTTAATTTTATGTTTGAGGCTGGTTTATTCTTGTTTCTCAAGTATTTTAAGATTTCTCCTAAGGTTGTATATTTGAGATTGCTCTTTTTTTTATAATGTGAGCATTGATTATGATGAATTTTCCTCCTAGAACTGCTTTCATAGTGTCTCAGAGGATTCAGCAAGTTGTACTGTCATTGTCATTAGATTCCAGAAATTTTAACATTTCTTTTTTGATTTCTTCTGTCGTTACTTGATTGTTTAGGAGTGTACTGTCAATTTAACAGGAGCTTTAGTCTTTTCCAAAATTTCTTTTGTCACTGATTTCTATTTTCTTTGCTCAGTGGTCTGATATTACGCATGGGGTAATTTCTATTCTTTTAAATTTACTTACCCAGGCTGTATCCTATGAATAAAGAAAAGACTAAAGAGAACATAGATTCCATGCAGGGTCAGAACAAATATTTGTACTATTAATACTACTACTAATATTTATTATTTTTGTGAACCATATACTCTAGTAAGTTTTTTATAGAACGTGTCCTTGATGATTATCTTGCTCCATGCAGCAACTATGTACAGCCCCCTAACCACGTTCATTACAGAATGGGCATAGTCATTGCTTTGAAAGAGTTTTCAACATGAGCAGTGATTATGCATGTACTACAATTCTTTTTTTTTTTTTTTTTTGGTTTTTCTCCGGTACCGGGAACCGAACTCACGACCTTGCGCTTGCCAGTCAGGCGCTTTTGCCGCTGAGCTAAATCCCCAGCCCCTGTACTACAATTCTTGAAGCAGATATAAGATCAATTCCTCAGGAATTTAATGAGCCCTATCAGGAACAAGTACTATGAGGAAAATAAATGACAATATTCTTGTCTTCAATTGTGTATAATCTACTCGAAACAAAAATATAAAATGTTATAGTTATGTGCTGATTTACGAGGTACATAAAATGTTTAAGAGATAGCTATGAACCATTGTTCTACTACTGCTACTATTATTCACAATGGTAGCAACAGCCGAGACAGCATTTTTCATATATTATGCACTGGTCATATGAGATTAGACTCCAGGTGTGGTAGTACTCAGTTACGGAAGGTCTTAAATCTTAATAAGGTAGAAGCTTAAATCTAATCCAGTTCATACAGAAAGATTTGGAATGGTATTCTGAATCAGATGGTGGCTCCCAAGCACTTTTGCCTAGGCTTAGGGTCACCTGTGAAGAAAAGATTCTGATTAGCCAGTTCCTAAGACTCAACTCTCCAGCACTTTCCAATATTTCTGGGTTTGACATTAACTTAGTGGTGACCCTTGATTAGAAAAATGGATTAAACAGCAGAAGTGGTGCCAATTATCAACTACACTTTGGTCCTACTACACAATTAAGAAAACCAAATGTTCAATTATCACTACAAGTCATGAGTTGCAAAGGGTGCAATTAAATGCCAAGTTGATATATATTTTATCAGACCCATCTTAAAAAGAATTTAAGGCAGTGCTTCTAAAACTGTTTATACATAATAATCATGTATTTACTTATAAAACAGCCATTATTGGGTTCTACTCAATGCAGCTTTTGATTCAATGGGTTTGGTGTCCAGTATTATGTATTGTATTTAAATATAATAGAATCAGCAGGTAATCTAAATATCAAATTGAAACAAGGTTTGCAACATTCCTGAAAAAGTTCTAAACATGGTTTATCCAAATCTGTTATCTTTCCCTATTATATAATTTTTCAGTGTTATTCCAATTAAAAACCATGAAACCAGAGCAATCCTAAACTCATCTATTAAATTTACCTACACTCTACACCATTTTTGGTAAACAAAACAGAGTACCATTATGTCATCCTTTAAAAATAATTAGAGTTTGTACATTCACTTCATTGTTAAATATCATTGCTGGATGTAAAAATTTTTGTTTTTGTTTTTTGGTACTGGGAATAGAACTCAGGACCTTGCACTCGCCTGGCAGGTGCTGTGCCACTGAGCTAAACCCCTAGCCCAAAATTTTTGTTTTTTAAAAGATGATTTTTGCTAATCAACTTTGTATGGATAATTATATCATAACTGAAGGTAAGGACACTTCATCAAATGTATAATAATCATATGCAGTCATGAAAGTTATTTATCTATTATGAAAACTTCTGGTTTTCAATTATCTTCTTTCAAAATGCCATAGTCATAAAATATTTCAGAAAAAAACTAAATAATATTTTGAATAAACCTTATCATTATATTTCATAGTATAAATTATGGCTAAAAATACAACAAACAAAACTCTATGCTATTTTGAACAGAAAATAGAAAAACAAAGATTTGTGAAAGTATAATAAAAATGTTTCCACTTAACTAGTAAAATAGTGCCAATATTCAAAGAGAACGTTCATCACAAGCTCAACAGTAAGACTATTTAACAAGCCCTTGGATAGAAATGACATTATAAATCAGGACAAGGTAAACCACATTTACTAATTTAGTGCTTTGTGATCAGTTGGGTCCCTCTGGCAAGCATCACTGGTATCACTTTACACCAATTGGAACCTTCATTAAAACAGATAAGTATCTGTTAATAAATAAATAATAAATGAAATGAAATGTAAATAAATGAAAGTATCTTATTTCATTTATTTTGCTGATATTTTAAAATGAGAAAACTCCCAATGTATCTATGATTTCCAAAGAAACAAATTAAGCGATTTCCTTGGAGTACTATTAACAGTGGCACACAATGTTGTAGGTTCCTATTTTTAGCGGAATGAAAAGGATGTCAATATAGGAAAAAGACAGTTTTTGCCAACTTATATCATATATAAGCACAGATACATTACTACTAATAAATAATACCAATACCTCAGGAGATTTAAAGGTGTTGTACTATATGTTGAGCAGTATTCATTCTCTACTCGGGACTCAAAAGTTGCCCCGCTACCAACTCTAGAGAAAGAAACTGAAAGGAAAACTGCTTTGAGAATACTAACATGTAAATAGATGTAAAATAATATACCTTTAACTTAATATACATTGTATAGGAAAGTCTAAGTGATTAAAAGATGATGGGGATATTTGAGAAAGAAGACAGCAAGTGTTGATGCAATTTTACTTTGTAGGACATTTAAATTTTCATTTTATAAAGATTCCATAAATTGAAAATACTTTGCATATGTTAATATATATTTACTACTATGACATGACTTTTTAATAATGCATGCCATCGTAAAGGAAAGAACAGGACAAGAAGCTCAATTCAACAAAGGTTTTAAAAAAAAGAAGACTGTGATTTGACAAAAAGAGGAGAAAGACTTTAATTTCCCACTGCAATCGTTTCAGTCATTTTTAAAGGCAAATGAACTACCATTACAATTTCACACTTTAATGAAAAGTTCAACTTGATTACTTAGTGATTGCTACTGTGTGCCTTTTGTTCACAATGCACGATGGTGAATGCTCCTCCTACTGGGGAACTCGTCGTCTGTCTAGTGGCAATAGATTTGGTTACTAACTGTACCACAAGGAAGAAGAAATGACACCAAAGAGATCTGTAAACAATTCACAGATTACAAGGGCTAGAAGAGTGACAGACCCCAGAGCCCATGAGACCTCTCAATCTAGAATCTCTGCTGCGTTTCTCCAGAAGGCTCAGGGAGAAATACTGTACTGCTGATTGTATGGGACCAAAGCAAAGACCAGACGTCTAAAAGTTCCACATTACAACTTTCAAATAAACTGCCTGTTTTAACCCAGTACCTACCTATACGCCACCATTTACAGTTTTGGTGGTTCCCTGTACAACTGATTGCTCTGTTTTTCCGGAATTTTCCACTTTTTTGGTTAAGTTCTAGATGATTCAACCTGTCATCATTTTTCTCCAGGCACTTAGGTTGTCTTCCCTTTGTCCTCCTAGGTCATTTGCCATTTCTGTACCCCTTCCGTATCCTGATAGTTTGTGTACTGAACTTCTGGTGGCTACCAGCTTCACTACACATGGAGTAAGTTTCTGTTGTTCTTGCTTGGGTGATCTTTCAAAGTGAGGATAGGGTAGAGTGGAAATTACTTCTTTCATCTCAAATCTATCTTGGATACTCAATTACCACAATTTCATTACTAAGTTGACATTAAGAAATATTAACAATAGAGCAGAAAAATTTAAATTAATAACCAATAGAGCAGAAAAATTTAAATTCATAAAAATAAATGTTATTGAGAATATTTCGATCTGACATGAAGGATAGCAGAAAAAGCTTGTGAGATAGAAAGCAGAAAGAAACATCACAGTATTATTCAAATCATCTGAAGTACACGACTGCCTACTGTGAAATAATTTTAAAGTAGTAAACCACAAATAATTCAAACCTTCACAAATATGGTGAACTCTTCCACTTTCTCATTAGATAATAGCAATTTCTTCTGTGCACCTTCTAGAACCTGTTCACTTTGCAGTGCTAATCCTTGAAGCTGCTTAGATGCTGCTGTTTCAATTTCTGCAATTACAGATTCAGTCTCATTTACTCTTGATACCAGAAGACTAAGCTTGAAATCCTTCAGAAGATAAAAAACAGTATTACATAAAAAGATTTAGAACAGTTAGTTATACCTATCAGATAAGGAGAGGGTCTCATTATATTCTATATTTATTTATTTTTATTGGACAAAATTAATGATTATTTTTACTTTCAGTAATACAGAACTGTTAATGTTAAACAAATTCTTATTAGTTGCAGGATACAGATTGTTCAGATAACTGTATTTGCAGTTATTTGAAGTTTCTAAGTAGTTAATAGTATCTTGTGGAGAGAAAAGTGACATTAATAATGAATGAGACAACATTATATTCCATTTCTAAATTAAGAAGGCCTACATACGTACCTTTTTTTCTAACTCCTCTTTAGTTTTCTGATACATCTGTTCATACTGTGACTTCTCTTTTACAGCAACACTAAGTCTTTGCTTTAGTGAATCAATTAATACTTTTTTATTAGAACATTCTTCAGTTAATGTCTTTACCTACATTGAAAGTATAAAGGTAATTTTTATTCGTAAGGAATTCTACTGTTTTATCAGAAACTGAATGAGTCTAATTCCATTTATTGCTCATAAATTGTATCAAATTCAATTATTATAGGAGTGAAACTAACAATCCTTAAGTCAGTAACAAAAACCAAAATTACACAAGAATGTATGACTACATGTAAAAGTGCAACCAATAATAATATATTACATATTTCAAAGAATAACAGAAGAAATATTTTTTTCAGTTTAACGGCATTAAACACATATGATTACTTACATAAAGATTCTAAAACTATATTTGAAATGATTATTTAAATTCAAAGAATTATCAAAATTTAAAAGATAAAGATAAATTGAAAAGCCCACAGGAAGTAATTACAGCTTACATAGTTGCACGAAGGAGAAACTGAAAGTCCATATGCATATGTCATGCTCATGTTAAATTTTCCCTCCGTAAATCCATTTGAGCTAACAGACATTGACATTTTCAACTTTAACAAAGAATGTGGGGGAGGTGTTCTCTACGGAGCAGCAATAACATTTAACGGGAATGCCTAAGCACAAGCCCCTTTATGAGTTACACAAATAGTACTTTTTTGTTTCTTTAAACAAAGACTTTCCATTTTAGTGAAACACATTTTACAACTAAAAACTAACACTCTTTTCCCATGTACTATGAATTAAGTGTATAGAAAAAGTATGATTTCTAAAGAACTTGTGATAGTTAGTCATCACTTTTTCATTCTGAAATACAAACAAGTAGGTCCTTATCAATTATACTTTAAAAACACTAAACAAAATGTAACCATATATCTCAAAAATAGGAAAAGTTTTTAAACTTAAACTTACCTTCTCACAGGACAGTTACAAATAGAAACCAAATGGATGAGATTTTGGAGTTCTGAATTTTAAAACAAAAAATATACTTTCAGAGCATGGTGGCACACATCTGTAATCCCAGCACTCGGGAGGTTGAGGCAGGAGAATTGTGAGTTCAAGGCCAGCCTGGGCTACAAAGTAAGTCAAGGCCAACCTGAACTGCACAGTGAGACCCTGTCTCAAAAAGTGGAAAAAAAAATGTACTTTCAGAGCAAATTACACAATTCTGTAAAAATGAATGCATGTCCACTGAGTATTTTCTATAAGATTATTCATACTGAATATTTGAGATAAGAAAGTAAATACAGTGAAAAATGATATTTTTAGTTAAAAGTTGTTACCTTTTTTTCAAGACTTTCTAACATCTGATTAAAACTCTCATTACTTTCTGAATTTATTTTCTGACGAAATTTCAAGTCCTCTATCAAATGTCTTTTCATAGTGATATCCCTCTCCATTCGAGAAATCCTTGAAAGGCACAAAAGATATTTTATTAAGAAAATAGAAAATACTTCTAACAGTGGTCGTATCTTTCATACTAACCAATATTATTCCTACTGGTAGGTTTAAAATGCTATGTGCTATTAATAAAAGTATAAATTAGTAAAATGACATTGACTAACTATTATACAATTATGATATTTAATTATAATTTAAATAAAATACTATTTATTATCTATTATTTATTATCTATAATATCTAAATTATGTATTATAATTTAAATAAAATCCACAATCAGGTTGTGATTTGGTTATTATATCACATATATGCACTATAAGATTAATTGAGATATATTAAATTTAAGAAAACTTTATCATATTTAAATTACCTGTTTGCATTACTTAAAAAATTGAAGTAATATTTAGAGATAAAAGCCTTAAAATGTTAAGAAACAACCTTATACTTTTGTAAACAAATGTAAAATCTTGTAATATGCAAAGAAACTAGGGATGCTATCTTCTAATTTACTATCATTTGACACTGACTTCACATATTACTTTAGCAAAAGTTGTTAAAACATGAAGGATAAAATAAACGGTAGGTGCAGTGACACCTATTATTACTGTTGCTGCTACTACTGCTATCACTATTACGGCTTTAACAGAGTGGTTATATGCAAGTTAGTATTATACATATTTACATGTTTTAATTCATTCATTCCTCCTAAAACCTCATAAATTAATAAAAGTAATCTGAATCACAGAGCCAGCAGACAGAGGAGCCAGGATTCAGTGTCTCTCTACACTCCTCACCGTTAAATAATAAGTAAGACATGCCCTTTACTTCAAGATATTCTCAGTTAAAAATTTAACCATCTTTTTGTCTAATAACTTTACTTACTAATATCACTTTTACATGTTTACTTATAATGTGGTATACAGGTATATGTATATATAAGATATGCATCTTAAATTTAATGATGACTGGAATTCTATCAAACATGCTATCACCTATAAACTATATCATATTTGTAAAAGATATAGAAAAACATCATTTTGGTTTCAAGGAACAGAGCATTTACAATCCCTTTCTAATAATCACAAAAGTACCTCCAGTTATTTTAAACAGAAAAAAATTTCCCTTTTCCATTTTAGCTTTATAAGCTTAGGTATTAAACCCAATGTTATATTAATCTCTCTATATTTTTTCAAATGACTCAAAGTTTAAAGTTTTTTGTTCAGACTTCAGTCATTAATTTATATTTATTTGAAAGGTTTAATAAGGGAATTCTGCCGTTAAATATTACCCTAATACAAATAGTAAGCAGTTTGCAATTAATCACACTATACCATTAGTATTCCTTAAACGTTCATCTTACGGAGCTTTAGACTCTAACTCAGAAAGTAGAATTACACTGTTAGAGTTCTGTGGTAGTTTCTTAAGTGCAACACTCCCTAGATCTGATCACCACTAGGTGGCACCAAATACAATAGATAGAAATATGAAAAACATACTTTTCATGTGTTTCCTTCATGTGTTCTTCTTTTGCTAGGAGTTCAAGTTTCAGAGACTTCACATTTGATGTCTGTTTAGTGAGTTCATTAGTTGCATTCTAGATAAAAAACAGGCATAAAGTTCAATGTACTTTTCAATCTGGAACAAAAATAGGGTACATGTCATTCTCAAGAAGAGTAATAAATTTCTAATTATGCTGAATAACTAAACATTTTATATTTTTGAATGCTTTATATTTTTCCAATAGAAATAACATAGGTAATACTAAAATTTTTATGTATCATGCCAGGCCACAGAGAAACATAATTATATAATAATTGCAAAGAGTATATTTATGGGAAACATGAATTATTCTAGTAAAATATAAATGTGTTTGAGTAATTAATAATGTAATGGCTCAATAAAACCACATAAAGTGAATGTTGGTTTTTCCAGCAACCTTTAATACACTAAACGTTGTCACAAATAATTTGATGCTCCTCCCTTTGAATCTAGTCTTCCTCGTGACTTGCTTTGACCAAAAGAATGTGGCAGAAACGACAGTTTCCAACTTTCAAATCCCGTGGCTGGAAGCAATACAGCTTTCATCTTGGCCCTCCTGGACACTGCCATGGGATCACCTTGCAAAGAGACAGCTGAAAGACTACATGAAGTAAAACCAGGACATCCAGCTGACAGCAGAGCAACTGCCAGACCTGTGAGTGGGGATACCCTGGACATCCAGCCAGGTACATAAATCTTAGGTTTAGAAAAGTCTAGACGTATCACAAAATCCAGAAGAGATTAGCAAAAGACCTGTCCAGCCAACTGAATTGCAAGAAAAAATAATCTAATGTAGTTTTAAACCACAATGTTTTAGGATAGTTTGCTAGAGAATAAACAGCTCATAGAGAATCCCATGAATATTAAACACTTCTTTGCCTATAATGCCACCTACTATTCAAGTAGTTATATATAATTTCTAGATTTTTCAAAGCAGAAGAGTTTTGTGGTATTTACTGTCTATGCAACCTAGGAACGAGAGGTAACCACAGTATTAAGACATCTTTCAAATTTGACTCAGGTTCCAGTGAAACATGTAATCTGAGATATCACTTCATCTTTTTGGCATTTTAGCTTTTAGGATATTGTTTATATACTCATGTTAATACATTTATTAAGTTTTAAAAGTATTAAATTAATATAAATAGAATAAAATATAACGGGTCTAAAATATTTGTAGTTATATCGGTGATCTTTCTAAAATAGAATAAACTTTCTATTAGAACTACTCCTACATTTGAATTTGGGTTAATTCAGTTATAAATATGAGCATCCTCAATTATGCTAAGTGATATATTAACATAATATTATAAATATCACTATATTAATTAACTATATTACTATATATTATCACTGTACTCTTGCATAGTGATACCTTCAGGGACTACTGTGCTGTAAGTTATCTACTTATTCCTACTCTAAATGGACTCAGACTACTAAGGTTTTCTAATTTTGTTTTCTTTAAGATTTTCATATTTTCTTTTCTTCTTCATCAATTTGTTGGATGTAATTTTTTGCTTCGGTCAATAGTCTTGCCTAAAAGCAATCATCCTACCCCTTAATATATACACAAATAAATGATTTAAGGCGTTTTGTGCTGATAAAATAAATTTTAAATTTTATTTAAAACAGTAAAAAAGGTCTTAAAATATCTTCAGTGGAATTTAAGATATCTGTTTTTTTCTGTTTTTAGATTTAAGATTGTATTTTATGAAGCTGAATGCTGTACATCTGACTGTTGGATAATTGAAGGATTACTGAATTTTAGTAAGTAAAAATATGATAACTTGCCAGTACTTTTGCCATAATCTTTAAAGCTGATAACTATTTTATTTGATCCTCAAAAGTTCTTCCCGCAACAGTTACACATACGTAGCCATGTTTATAGCAGAACAATTCATACTAAGTAAACCTTGGAAGTGACCTATGTGGTCCACCAACAGATGAATGGATAAAAAAAAGTGGCACTTATACATGATGTAGTACTACTCGGCCAGAACAAAGAGTACACTGGAGTCATTTGTAGGGAAATGGATATATTTTGAGACCATACTGTTAAGTGAAATAAATGAGATATACAAGCTTAAATATTGCATGGTTTCTCCTACAAGAGACTCCCAAAAGCTGTGTAACCCAAAGTATGAATAAAGAGCAAAATAAAAGACAGTAGGAAATAGATCTTTTGTGAAAGTGAAGAGAACCAAGAGATGAAAGGAAGGGGGAAACGGGAGGGGAGGGATGAAGATGTGACATGTTCCGCACCAACCTCCCAGGAGGAATGAAATGATTATGTACTGCAAATATGTGCTAATACAAATTCAAAAACTGAAAATAAAGTTCTTATGAGATGGGTACAAAGGCACCCCTGCTTTAGACCTTCAGAGTGGTTAAGATATTTCCTTAAATTGGTCCCACAAGAAGTTATTGGCCACAAAAATGATCAAACCCATTGTTTTATTACTGTTCCATTCCCTACTAGCATCACTTAAAACCTGGTGTAAAATACATGTATCAAAAATGTCACAGTGCTAAGTATCCATCCATGTCAGCTTTCTTATAGTAATGTTACTGAATATTTTTTAAAGTTTGCATAGTGTTATGATAAAACATACACTCTGAAGCCAGACTGGCTTAAATTCTACTCTCAGCTCTACCACTTAATAGCAGCTGTGTAACCCTGGACAATTAATTTACTTCTTCTGTTTCACAACTGTAAAATAGAGGTAATAAAAGAACCTACTTTACAGGGTTGAGATGGCAATTAATATTTGTAAAACACTTCCAATCAGCCTAACAATAGATTATAGGAAAAATGGTTTAAAAATTACTTTTCACTATTACTAATTTACTGGCAAAATGGAAGAGAATATAATATGTATAATATCCTCTTTAAGAGGCAGGAAGTAAAAAAAACCCACAACACAAACTGAAGTATTATTTAACCTAGGTTGTGTAAAAAGCTAAAAAGTGATGTATGTATCATTCAATGGAAGGAATTACTATAACCTCTAATATTGTATTATCTATCTATAAAAAGGTGGATACCTGGAGGAAACATTTAATTTGGGTAAACAAGAAGAGACAGAAAATGCACATGAGCACTTTAATGTTACTGAGTGAACCTGGGACATCTAAAAAGTGCATGCAAGAAATTACATAGGAAAGACTTATATTCATTGTATAAAATGAAAAGGTGTATGTGGATCTTTAATAGATTTAAATCTAACCAACTTTCTCACTGGAGCATTAAATCAGTTAAAAAAAATAAGTTATTTCTTAGATAATCACTGTGTTAGCAGTCTGATATCTCTTACAGGCTGAATTGTGTTGCCTTAAAATATACATATGTTACCACCTTCTCCCAATCCCCAGTACTCAGAATGTGACGACATTTGGAAGCAGGGCCTGTAAATAATAATTAAGGGAAACCAACGTTTTAGGGTAGACTCTAATACCTTAGGACTGGTGACTTTGTAAGAAGAAGAAATTAGGACATGAAATACACAGAGGAAACACTGAAGATGCAGTGACAAGACAGCCAACCAGCAGTCAAGAGGCCTCAGGGGGAAACAAAACAACAGTGGACACTTTGATTTTAGACTTTCAGCTTCCAGAATTATTAGAAAATAAATGTTTTTGTTTTTAAACCATCCTGTCTGGTATCTTGTAATAGCAGACCAAGGAAACTAATACAACGCTGAAACAAATTTTTAGTAGCAGAGCATTATGTACTTAAATTTCTTTCAGGAAATTTCTATATTAAAATATGAAACAAGATAAAAATAAATATTTACCCTTTTAGTCTCTGCGTGGCCTGGTCAGTGTTCCCAGAGACCAGGTTAGATACGTAAATGGAACTAAACTGCCTTACTCTTTCGTCTCCCCTTTCTGGCCCTCACTTGTCCAGAACAAGAGAGATACACATACTGTACATGGGTAAAAACGTGCACCTGAAGATGTTACAACACACACACTTACAATACTCATACGCATCTATTATTAGCCAAACCTGTTAGATCATTTTAGAAAGATTAAATTTCTGCTAGTCCATTTACAGCAGTGAAGTCCAGTAACTAAAATATAAATCAACTTACAGCTACTAACAATTTAAACATTTTAGAAATCAGATAATTCTGGATCAAACACTGTTTTAATGTATGTGAATATTTTTTATTGGGATCATAAAGACTTAGAATCACAGAATAGAACTGCAATCTGTGCAGTAGATAAGATTAGGTAAGATCAAAGAATGTTTTAATGACTTTACCTTCATTTCCATGAAATCTAAACACTAAAATGATCAATCTGTATATTTTATGCACATTCTCTGAGAGAAGAACATATTCAAGAGAGGATGCACACCCTAACACTTGCACAATTACTCTTCTACCATCTCTAGTATTAATATAAGGGTTCAGACTTATAAAATGCTAAGGCAAGGTTTACATGTAAAAATTATTATATGATGCTGAAGAAGCATCTCAATGCCAGTTTTATAACTATTATTAACAAAGCAAAATATTTTTAAGCAATAATACACTCATTTATTTTAGATTTTATTATATCTTACTGTATTAATAATCCCACACTAAAAAATATTTTGGGCTGAAAAAAACTAATAGTCTATTTGATAATTCAAAACTCCAATACACTTTTAACAGTCATAATTATTCCATTTCAATGTTCTCTGCACATTTACAATCAACTTTCCTTTCTGGTGATACCAATTAATTATGTTCCTATATCCACTGCCTTTATTCTTCCAGCTATCAATCCCTCAACTGAAGAAAATAATCAAATATATGAAAACTGAACAAGTTTGCTTTAAGGAGTATGAAAATGAACTTTCCAATTAAAACTCACGAATTCTGTTTCTTATAAGATAACCCTATTTACAGTAAAGTGAGCCTCACTTTTAAGTTATTGGCTGTTCCACGTGGACTTTGATGGAATTCCTTATCAACAAAAGGAACACTGTATTTTCACCGTACTCTCGGATTAACTTGCTGAAATCTATTAAACCAATCTATCTTTGATTTCTGCTTCCCCTTCCTCCACTCATTTACCCTCTCCTTCCCCATCCCCAACTAACGACAAAATAAAAAGGTCAGCAAGTGCGTGGAGGAGAGGAGTCCTACTGATGTTGACACGTCAGGATCGAAAGGGCTCTATGAAGTTGAGGAGGTGTGAAGAACAGAGAGGAGTTGAGCGCTGGAGCAGAAGACAATGGCCAATTACCATTAGCTCCTAAATCAAGACTTCATTGTGTCTGGTCATTTTTTTTTTTTCAGAATAGTACTATGAATTACCAGATAAGAGTCTACCAGGTTAAAATTAAATAATGACATCAAAGTAGTACTAATTTTTAGATTATTTATACCAATTTACCTTTATTAGAATAAATTAGAGTTGATATAAACATGTCTTTGAGGCTGCAGTATTTTAATGTATGTTTTCATGCTTAATAAACTTTATAATCACCTTTAGTTTACACTGTAATTGCTTCATTTCTAAATCCATGTTCCTTGAGGAGCCCAGTGATGTAACTGGTATATGTGGAGTTGCTACCCTGGCAACTTCTTCTGCCAAACTTGTGATTTTAGATGAGGAGTCCAATTTCTTTAGTAGATCTTCATTTTCTTTCTGAAGCCCGGCCAAATCCAAATTCAGCTTCTTAAAAAAAAAAAGAAAGTAAATGTAAGACTAACTACAGTTAATCTAACAATTGTCAGCATAAGATTCTATAGGTAAGAAAATAACAAGGATGAGAATTAATTACAAAATTAGTCATAAAAAATTTAAAAATTCTATCCTCTACTAGCTTTTGTTCTATAGGGCTTGTAGAGTTCAAACAAAATTAACCAACTGTACTCAGCATCCTTAGGTTGGTTGGTCTTTACACACAATGAACTATTTCTTCCCCTTCACATATATGTGAGTGTGCCAGAGATTCACAGATTTGATATCTCTGACTTCAGGTCTGACGCACTTAACTTGGTAAAAGCCAAGCTGGAGCAGGACAAGATAACAGATGTTAGTTGTTTATTCCACTGGGTAGGTCTTACTACCGTATACAGCAGCCAAAATACTTCTCATTTAGCAACATAAATGTTAAGTCCAATTAGCAGATGAGGCTTGTTAGGGATTTAGTTCAAATAAATCGCATGCAAAAAACCTTGCTCAACTTTATGTACTTGACTGATAGTTAACAAGTCTTATTTATAATGTGTAGGTAAAACTGCCTGAAATTCCTAACATTTGAAATTATTTTTTTTTTGGGGGGGTGGTTTTTTGAATTTTTAATAATATACATATTTTGCTAAATGACATTCTACTAATGCTTTCATGAAGGAGTGTAAAAGAAGCCATCTTAATGTGAGCTGTGATCTTGCATCTGTAGTCAGCAGAATGTCACCAAACTGCAACAGTGTAACAATTCAGAGCACCTTAAGTGGGTAATATGGTAGTCTAACATAAAGAACCATTAGACAAAATGACACTTAAATCTCTCAGAAGGAAAAAAAAAATTCGTTATGAATTACTATTACATACAGCAAAAGATGTACCTGAAGTATACAGTAATATAAACAGGAGACATACTATTTAGGTATTAACACTATGTTTAAACATAACTTCTAGAAACTCTCTCAATAAAAACACAAATGTTTCTTTATATGCAAATTGTTAAATGTAAGTATTTCAGCCCAAGAATTAAAAACTAGAGCATATCTGAAATGAGTATATTTTGATGAAGAAAGCTATTCCTCTGACTATATTTTACTTTATGATCTAGAAGTATAGCTTTAAAGACTTTAGAAAACATTTACTCATGAACTGTCCAAAGTATACCAAAGAGCTAATATTTTAAAATGAACTCATAATTTCCCTAAATATGAAACTCTTCCTGGCTATCGTCCAAGTTTGAACTCGACTTCCTCCCTATTTGTTTTTCTGTCTGTTTATAGATCTCTCATCTATAAACCAAGTAATGCTTCGCATTCCGCCCTGCCGCTCTCTTGTACGCTCCCCCACCCCCTCACGAGCACTGTTGCAAAAGCCATCCTCCCCCACGCCCTCCTTACCTCCATACCACTTTTCATACAGCTTCCCCAACCAGCACTGACCTGTAATTCCCCTGCTCAAAGCCCTTCAGTGGTGCTTCAACCCAACAATAAAGCTCCAGTGTCTGTAGGTATTAAAGTTTTCGAGCATTTTAGATTCAAATTGTTTCAGTCAGCATCACCTAAAGTCAAACTTGTTTGCCAGTCTCCAAATCCGCCTGCCATTTTGCCATCAATGACTCTACACATCACATCTCCTCAATCTGAAGCATCTCTCATCTTTTTTTATTATTTTTTTTTATCTTTTTTATCATTTTTTTTGAGACAGGGTCAACCTTGTAGTTCAGGCTGGCCTTGCACTCACAGCAATCTTCCTGCCTCAGCCTCCGGAGTCCCAGGACTACAGGTGTGTGCCACCATGCCCAACTATCTTTCATCTTTAAAAGGGCAACTTAGTATTTCCTTCTTCACCAAGCCTTCTTTTTTCTTTGCTTCTCTTTTTTTCCAAAAAATAGTTTCTCCATTCTCTTAGCTCAGCTGGAAGTATGCATGTTCTTTATCCATAAACGCTGGTTAATTCAAATCCTTGAGAGTGGATGCTATTTCTGTCCACCAGTATGCTTATTATAGTACAGTTTATGAAAACAATTGCCTTACATATAAGAACCAAAACAAAGGATTGAAATCTATTTGTAGCACATATGGTGTTATCAGGACACACATCAATTGCAGTTTTTAGTCACAACCTATGAATTTATTACTATATAAGTTAAAGTGCATTTTATTAATAATATAGTATTAGTTAAGCTTTTGCTTGGAAGCATGTATCAGTGCATATCTCACTTTTGATGTTAATGTTCTGGGTCTATATTAGACTTTGTGAAATTTGTTTTGTAAGACATAACTCATACCTATAATTATTGGTAGAATCCTCAGCAACACAGGAGAATAAAATTTGATGAGGCTCTTCTTTTGCTTATGAATAGCTCCAAGTAGCTTCTCTCGCTTGTTGTACATGTATGTCACTATATTTCTGTCAGTTTTATCTGTACTGGCAGATGCTAAAACTATAAATGTATCTTTACTGAGGAAAGACCAAGCCAATAAATATACTTTTCTAAAAGCATGCATATATAAATTTCAACTTCAATGTAATAATATAAAAATATAAATGAAGAAACACTGAAACTACAAATAACTTGAATTTTTGAAAATATATATAATATTTTGATTAAACACTCAAATCTATAATCTTCAAAACATTTCTAATATAATCATATTATATATATATATATGTACAGCAATGCTGCAGAGTACCTATAGGGGAATATGTACATAATTTATTGCATCAGTCTGAAATATTTTGCTTATTCCTTGGATTGCTGAACTAATAGCTTAGGCTCCATTAATAACTTTTCTCAGTTTAAATTTTTTTATTTCTTCTTTCATTTGTTCTTTAATTCTTTCCCTCACTCTTTCCTTTCTTCCTTCCTTCCCTCCCTCCTCTTTTCCTTTCTTTCTTCCCCCTTTCTCTTCCTGCCTCTTTCTTTTTCTCCCTTCCTCCCTGCTTCTGTCTTTCTTACTAGGAATTGAACCCAGAGCGAGAATTCTATTTCTTATCTCAGAGATGCTGTACATGACACAAGAAGTATAATTTTCATTTGTTCACACTTGGTTTGGGCTGCTTTTGTTTGATAAAAATTGTTCTGTAAAAGCTACCAATAAATTAATATTACTCTTAAAATTGTTAATATTTTTCTTTTTCATTCAGGAGCATGGTTCCTATTTTTCTATTATTATTTTTCTATCTCTAAACATTTCAGATATTTAAGTTACATTACATTTAAAAGAAAAATAGTAAGCACAGAATCTAAAACTCTAATTCCCTGAATCTATGGATTACCATTTGAGTGACCTTGTGTAAGTATGTGACTGTTTCCCCTTTTAAAAACAGATGATGCTTGCCTACCTAACAAAAGCAATTTTGAGCACAGAATTTTTAAAATATTTGTGACAGTACTTGGTAGATTTTTATGTGCAATATTATGTGTAGTTTTATTATTTTGTGGTAAATTATAGAGTCTGATACATGTCTTACAAGCTGACAAACATGATAAAATATTTTGTTTAATATAGGAATATGATAATCCTATGGTCATAACAGAAACTTTTGTTTGCCTTAAAGCATAGCTACTCTGTTGATTACAATAAATTCAGGGTCCTTACCAGGCTACCCACACACTGACCTATGAGCTTTCTGACTTCATAGTCCTAACTCAGCAGTCCTTCCATAGTCTTCTAAAAGTCTATTTCAATTTAAAAGTTGAACTCAGTGAGAATTAGTGCTGAGATTTGCTTTGCTTTATGTATATTCAATTGTTTCTAACCCAAGATTACAAAAGAGAACATTTATAAACATTTAAAACTAGAAACTACTTTCTACTTAGTTATTTACACAGAATACTGGGCTAGAATGTGAGTCTTAAATGGAGCCTTAGGTAAAGTAAGCTAAGAGAAAAAGACAAGTACTGCATTATCTCACCTACATGTGGAATATTACACAGTTCATCTCATAGAGGTTGAGAATAGAATGGTGGGCACCAGAAACCTGGGAGAGGCGAGGGACCAAAGGATGGGGATAGGTTGATCAGTGGGTACTAGCTGTAGTTAAGTAAGAGCTAAGAAGTTGTGGCAAGTAACTGCACAGTATGGTGACTATAGATAACAATAATGTGCTATCTATTTTTAAAAGCTAAAAGAAATATATGATAAATACCTGAGTAGATATGTTTAATTTGATTTAAAACATTAAATAATGTATATATGTATTGAAACATTACATGGTACTCTAAATACATGCACAATTTTGTTTTCATGTATCAGTTAAAATTTTTAAGTTTAAATATAACACTGAAGAAGCACAAGTTTGAAAAGGAAAGAACGGCAAGCAATTGTAAGGAGAAACAAGACTAAATATACAGAATGTGTGCGTGTGTGTGTGTGTGTGTGTGTGTGTGTGTGTTACTTGGGACAAAACACAGGCCTTCACATGTATCTACTTTAAAAACTTTAGAAGCTCTTAGAATTTATTTTTTAAATTTTGAGACAGAGTTTTGCTAAGTTTCATAGGCTGAGTTCGAACTTGTGATCTTCTTGCCCCTAGGCAGTCAGAGTGCTGGGATTATAGGTGTGCACCACTGTGCCTGGCTAGGAACTTATTCTTCAGTACTGAGTCCTGGAGTAGATACAATACTGGTATGATGCTCAATAATACATGTTCTGGTATAATATGTCCCTGGTGGGACCTGTGAACAAGTTGAGGCGAGCTTGTGATTAAGATGAGCCATCACGACAATTATGTTACATAAAAAGTGACTCTATGAACACAATTAGGATGTTTAATCTAGTGACTTTGACTTAAGATCATCCTGGTTGGTTTTAATCAGATGAGTCCTTTCAAAGGCTGCCTGGTGCCTTCTGAGAGAGCCAGAGAATCAGACAGTCAGACAGTCAGACAATCAGACAGCCGGACAGTCAGACAGCCAGAGAGCCAGAGACTGATTCTCTTCCAGCCTTGAAGAAGCAAGGGCTTCCATGTTAGCATTATGAAAG